CGTCCTGCCAGTCCTTCTGGCGGAGGTTGCCGCGGTTGAGCTCGAGGTAGCGGCGGCCCCAGGCGTCGACGAGAGTGGAGGAGGCATCCTCGGACCAGCAGTCCTCGCGGACGGGGACGGGGCGCGACGGCGGCGGCGGCGGCGCGAGAGAGTCGTGGAAGTCCGGCATGGGATTAGGGTTGGAGAAGAGAGAGAAAGAGAGAGTTAGAAAGAAGAGGATGAGAGAGAAAGCGAAACGGCAAGGCGAAAGAGTGGGATAATACGGTACGGTCGCCGGGGAGGGGCGCGTGTTGTTGGGGGAACCCCAGTCTGTGAGTGGCTCGCGTCATCGGATCGGCTCGGCTTGACCGCTACAACTTCTACTATCGGATTCGGATTAAATATAAATTCCTTTTTTTTATTATTTTTTCTTCTCTTTTCTACATTTTCTTTTTCTTTTTCTTTTTTCTTTTTTTCCTCTTTCTTGCCGACTTCACTTCACTTCACTTGCGTCTTGCTGTGTGCTCAGTCTCACGGCTCCAAATTCCGTTTGGCTTTTTCCTATTTATTTTTATTTTCATTTTCATTTTAATGTTTCACGTTGTTGAGGCAAATGAAATGAACGAGATAGAGAGAAGATAAGATTTGCGTTTCTTTTATTCTAAATTACCATTATGGCCTTAAGCGGTGCTCCTTGGTTTCAGTGGGTATCATTTATATACCTTGCGTTCCGTCTACACTCTCTTTTTCCGTTTTCTTTCTTTTCTCTCACCCGTGACCACTCCGATTCTGCAGTATTAATTCATCTAAATAAATTCTTTATCTTTACATGAAACAAACATTCAATATCTACTTTATTATTTTCTCTCTTCTATATATATAAAAGTATAAATATTAAAAATAACTATATCCATTTAATTTTTTTTCTAAATTATCCTTAAAATATTTATTACAAATAGTAACTATATTTAATTTAAATAAATATTTTTAAATGATAGTATTAAATTATAAAGTTAATTAGAATTTAGATATCTTTTCGTTTATATATGCAGTTTAGAATAAAGAAAGGGAAACATTAAATAAATATGAGTGAGATAAATCTGTTTTAAAAGTTTTATGACTAAACATTAAAATTTAGGTAAAATATGTTTTTAATCTTTTTATAATATTAAATTTATAATTTTGGACTTTATCAAAAAAAAATTATAATTTTAGTCTCTTATTTTTTAATTCTTTAATTTTAGTTTTTTTTTTTAAAAAATTTTGTAATTTTACCTTATCGCATGTCCATATGTTAATCATTTAAAATGTAACGTACATCATAATACCTAATATTAAATAAATAATATGATAATTAAGATTAATCATATTTAGAATAAATAAAGTTTTTAGTTTTCATTTTCATCTCATGTATCACTTTTATATAATAAAAATAAAGATTAAGGGAGCATTTAGTAGGAGAGAAATTTTTTCATACCCAAAAATTATGATTTTTAGAAATTACAAACTCTAAGAGTCATGATTCATATAAATGGTTAAAATCCATTTAGATACTCATAAATATTTTTTGAATTATTAATTTAGGGTTTCTTAAAAATAAAAGATTTTCACGTTTATTTATAATATTACTTTTCTGATTATACAAATAATTTTTATAAAAATATCTTTTACAAAAAATTGAATTTCTTTTTTCTTACAAAGTGTATACATGTCATAATTTAACATATAAAAAATATATCATATTTAGTTTAAAATAATAAATCAACGGTTTGTATATAATTAAACTATATACAAAATCATAATAAATTATAGTGTAAAATATATAAGAAAAAACTTAAAATATAATAAGAAAAAAAATTAAAATATAAATAAACTAGAAAACAATTAAAGAAAACATATATAGTATAATTTTGCTTAAATAATTTGTTAAGTTAGAAGTTAAAAACCATAATAAAAATTAATGATGTGGTTTTGTAGTTTATAAATTTCAAATGACTATAAAATATCATATCTTATAAAAAATCATAATTTATTTATTTTTTATTATTATATTAACAAGAAAAGTGTTAGCAAAATAAATATTAATTTCTAGCTAATAATAATAAAATATTTATGAAACATTGCATTGATTTTATTTTTTCTTAAAAAAATATGATTAAAAGTGATAAGAAAAATAATTTTTACCATGAATTATTTAATTTAATTAGTTAATAAAATTAATGTACTTTTTGTGTTTGTTATTCAAGTGATAATAGATAAAAAATATCAAAAAAGTTTTCTATTTAAAAAAAAAAAAGATATTATGATCTTTTTATGTACATAAAACTTTTTTCTTAACTTGTGAAAATTTAATTCCCCCATGAAAATATTTTTGTATAGAAGTGAGAGAGAAATGATTTTTGAGAATCATTTATTTTTAAATAGTTACCAAACATGGAAAATTATGATTCTTGATTTAAGATTCTCATAAAAGTAAAAAGATTTTGTGTATCAAATACCTCTAAAAGTAAAAATTAGCTTAAATATTATTAAATATTAATTGTTATATTATCTACTTGATAATGTTTAACATTATAATTTTAACTAATTCAATAAAAGGACCAAAATTACATATTTATAAAATCAAATTACTAAAACTACATAATTAAAAATAGATATACAAAATTTGTAAATTTGATATTAAAAAAAAAAATACAATTTAATCTTTATTTTATTTTTAATGAAAACATAGTGTTTTTCTTGGTTAGCTTAGTATCTATAATAACTATAATGAAAAAATATTTTCTTTTATTTTTCACATCTTAGTAGATATTTCATCTTTTAATTAATTTAAAATTATTTATTATTTTATTTTTTAATTATTTTTAAAATGTTTTACTACAATCTTTATTTCTTTTACTCTATTCTTAAATCCTAAATTCTATACCCTAAACATGTAGAATATATATAATATATAATTAAATTTATTATAAATCATATATATATATATATATATATATAATATGCTTGAATATAGAAATT